GCTCGGCGCTGGTGGACGCAGCTGTCAGTCGCCGTTCAACGCGCCGCCGCCCTTTCGGTGGCAGCTCGGGCGTGGCCGGCGGCGTCGCGAGCAGCGGCAGTCGATCCGGCGTTCGAGCTCGTGTTGGACCTCGCTGATGCTGCGGGGCCCAGCATGCTGCCGTTCCGTGCGTGAACGCAGCTTGAGCGCCGGTTCTAACCGACTGAAGGCGGTGCCTTCTGGCAGATGCAGAAAGGCGCGACAACAAAAAAAAAAACGGGTGAATAGCAGAGGGAATGGGACATTCATGTTCGGAGTCATGTCACTCTATCACACCAAACACGATAATCGTGTTCATATGAGAACCATTGACGCACCACATGTGTTTTGTTCATCAAACATTCTCTCCGCCGTCATTCGGAGTGGGCATGTTGAGGTGAATAGCTGTTCCGCCACGTAGCACACTGCCCGTGCACGAAAAACGGCGACTATCACAGGGCAGGGAATCCGCTCGCAGGCACTGGCTCAGCGTCACGAGCATCCGCGACGGTCACCCAAAGGGGGCTCCGCGCCATCGCATGTGTCCACTCCATCCCCCGGCAATCCAAGCAAGGAGTAAGCCAGCGCGCACTGCGCCGCCACAGCTAGCTTGCCCCCTTGTACGGCGTTGGGAAGCACGTTGCCTGGCTGGGCGCATTCACGAGCACGAGCCTTGGCCAGCTGAACCTGCCGCCAACCTGTGCCGGCAAGCCTCGGGTCTTGGCGCGCATGGCGCGCAGGCGTTTGCGTTTCGCCGCCTGGTCAAGCGCCGTGCCTGGGACACGATCAGCATTTGGTTGCGTGCCGCCCGGCCTCGAAACTGGAACCGCCAGTGTCGTGTCAACGGCCGCCTGGGCGTCGTGCCCAACGGGAAGCCGATTTGCCAAGCCCTTGATGCGGCGGCCATAAGTCTATAGTCGATATTCATGTCCGGTAGAAAAATGTTGGATACCACTCGCCCCTGCTTCGCGGCAAACACGCGCCGCTGCCTTCTCCAACCCTGCCGCGCGAGTTCCGAGAACACCGGCAGTCGGGCGCTGCTCAATAGTCAGGAACATCGAGAATACCTCCACAACGGCACCCACGGGGCCTGACAGGCACGGGCAGCTGAGTAGCCGCAACCGCTTAGGATGCCTAAGCATGCCTGAGCAACAGGACTCGGAAGAAAATCTTCGAGAAACGGAATTCCGGAGCCACGATTCAACGGAAGGCTTGCGATGCAAGCTGCGCGCTTCCAGTGATGCGTCAAAACTTCAGACGCCCGCGAATTGCACTGGCGGTTTCGGCAAGCAGTCTAAATTTTCGCATTCCACTCATAATTTTTTGACGCTACGGGGATGTGACACGTTGCGATGCGGTTGATTTTTGTACATAACTGCACGATGTGTGACACCACACATGCTAATTTCGTGCTGCTTGTTTCGCCTTTTTCATCGTGACCTACGGTCGTTTCTAGCCATTTTTTGCGTCTCGAATCTGCATTGTGTATGGTCCAATAACCAACAGCGAAGCATGCCACAGAGCCAACGATAAAGCTGGAACTCGAAGTATTAAGGTGTTTGCGCCGAGGAGGTTCGGTCCGTGAACAACCGTTTACGGTCAGTATGTACACAAGAAAAGAACGCCAGGTGCATTGACCGGCAAAACCCACTAATAGAGAAAGATGAGTGTTACGAGTCAGACCAATCGCCTCAAGATAGAAATCAAGGCTATCGCATCCGCAAGCCTTCACGCAAGGATCTTGCGATCTGACCGATGGATGCCACATAGTGTACATGAGCATTGACCGCAAAATGATTGTTCGGCACGAGGTGAGGATCGAAAATCCACCGCAGCAGCTCAGCATCACCGAACCGAGGCACTTAAGCGTTCCACCCAAGTGTGGCGCTAATAACTAGAATAGGGTGTGGGGTCTATTCTACTATGCTTATCTCGCATGTATCCCTACGCCCTAAGCTCGCTACTACCACAGTTACTGTAGGGTTTCTTTCAGCTTAGGTTTACGGTCCCAAA